AGTGATGAGTGGAAAGATATACAGCAAGTCATGTGTTCATACTGGTGTGCTGGTAAATGTTGAAAAACTCAAGTTATATATATTTTTAAAAGCCCTTTGATTTATATATAAAAATTACTATTTCCTTGACATGAATATCCAGCTATGGCAGATTTCAGATTTTGCGGAGGGAGGTGCAGGGGCAGAAATGGGAATTGAACCCAGAGTCTCAGGTATACTAAGCAGGCAAGTGTTCTAGCCCTGAGCTACATCCTTAGTTGATTTTTTTTTTTTTTTTTTTTTGAGACAGGGTCTAAGTTGCCCAGACTAGCCTCAAACTTGATTCTCCTGCTTCGGATTCCCAAGTAACTAGGATTATAGTTGTTTGCCACCACACCAGGCTCAGATTTCAGATTTTAAACTACCAACATGATGTCATTCAAAGTAGAGCTAAAGAGGCTAGAGGTGTAGCTCAGTCGAGATCACTTGTCTAGCATGTTCAAGGGCCCAGACCCATAAAAACAAGAATAAAATTTAAAAACAGGCCCATAAAAAGAGGTGTCCAATATGCAAAATCAGCTCTCAATAGCTGGTCCAGCACTCCACTGTGTATTTTCATGAGTTTTTGTTCTTGAATAACAGAGGGGTCATTTCAGGAAAATGAGTCCAGAATCTAAAATTAATACATCACTGTGAGAGCAAGAGGTTCTGTTTTCTTTTCCTAACTAAGATGCCATGTTAAAGGATTACTCATGTGGTATTACATGTTGTAGCATGCGCAAGAAAGAATTGCAAACTTGCTAGAAATGCAAGAGGTCAGCCTCTGGGCAATTAGCACATAAGCCACCTTGGAGCGAAAGAGTTGTGCATTTGGTGATTAGTGATCCTGGAGAGGGATTCCAGAAGACTCCCTAACAGGGAAATGTAGCTAGCTCTGCTCACTCAGAAGAAGAAAGACAAAATAGAATAGCCCTTGTTCTTGGCCTTTGCATAGGACTTCATGATGTGTGCAGGGATTTCTGCAAGATGGTAAAACTTCATGTGTCCAGTTTCTAGTTGCTCATGAAGACACTGACAGGTTGTAAAATTCAGGTTTCTAGGTCACTTTTGCTCACATGAGTGATTGACTTGCAGTGTGTCTCTCCAGTTGTCTTCCCATAGAGATCTCCATAAAGCACTGTGAGCAGAATCAGAGCCTGGCAATGGGCCAAGCCTGGACCAGGCACTTGTCTTAAATTGTTTCTGATGCCACCCAAAACCCTGTGAAGTAGCTACTATTGTTCCCTTCCATTTTGTAAAGACAGAGACTCAGAGATGTTAAATTACTTGCCAAAGGTCAAGAAATTCATAAATGCCTGAACTGGGACACAAACCAGGACTGTCTGACACCTAAAGCCTATATTAAGAATCTCTAGACTGGCTCAGGTCAAGGGCTTTAATAAAATTGTAGATATTTAATGTGCTAATTGGACAGGATGAGCTAAAAGGTTCCAGTGTAGGAAACACTAGCTGAACTGGGGGAAGGTATTTGAGAATGTTGGGGGAGGGGGGCCCATGACAAGGGTGATAAAAAAAGAATGTGTCCACATGCTGTCATGCTGAATTGGGTAACAGAAGAAGGCTGTGTATTTGTAATTGGCTCTTTCTGTGTAAAGCACAAGGCTGAATTAGGTCAGCCTTTCAGAGAGCCCTCTGCTGCCCCTTTGTAGCCTGTGGCCCCCTTTACATAAACTGTAAATTAGACACTAAGTTCAATGACAGCACAGACTGATTATACAACTCATGCTGAATCTCCAGTCCTGTTCCAGTGTCTGACATAGTTGGCACTTAAATATTTGTTGAATATTGATGGTGCTGATAATGATAAAAGTAAAAACTCAAAGTAGTACCAACATTATCTCATTTAATCCTCACAATAACTTAATGAAATAGATACTATTCTTCTTCCTCATTTATAGATAAGAAAACCATTGCTTAACCAGAGCCTGTAACTCACTTGAGGATATGATCATAACTTGCAGGAAATTAGTTTTGCCTTGATATCAGAAACTTGGCACTTAATATAATGCTATGGTCTGTTGACTTATAATGCATTTGTTGTACTTCTAAGAAAGCTCAGTTATAAAAATTGGATGATGGGATTTAAGTTTTGTGAAGGAAAGGAAGCTGTTTTGTATTATCCATATCCCTCACCTAGAACAAACCTGGCATATATTAGGTGTTCAGCAAATTTTGAAATGAAGTGATTGAAATGATTGCTCCTATTCATTGCTATATGCACAATCATTTCAGTAAGAATAGGAATAATAAGTTAGAACATTTCAGGCTCACAACAGATTGGTTTTTTTTGCATGAACTTCAACAAAAAGAGAGAGGTATAAAATCTAAATATAACTAAACAAATTTGGTAATTTACTCTTACAATAAATAGTTATTTTYATTCAACAAATAAGCATCTATAATAAGTAAACATCCAGGTGTGTCTCAGGAGGCTGAGGCAGGAGGGTCCTGAATTCAAAGCCAGGCCCTAAGCAACTCAGTGAGACTCTGAGGTTGAGTGTGCCTGGGTTCCATCTAGTGCCAAAAATAAAATAAAATGAAGAAATATTATAAAATAAATTGTCTCATGAAGAAGACAAAAACAAAAACATTGTGGAGATAGCAAATATCAAAAGTAGGGTCTGTGGTGTGGTTAGGGAATGTCTCAATGAAATAGGAACAGTTGAGGAACTGAAGAATGCCAAGAGAATGAGAAACACAGGACAGTATGCGGAGAGGCTGGGAGCTTTTGGAAAGAACTTGACATTCCGGAGGAATAGAAAGGAGCTCAGTAAGTCCTTTCAGTTCCTTCCCTCCACAACACTGCATAAGGGTTCTTTCATGATCTTACCTCTTTTGTCATGTCATAGTGTTAAGGTAACAACAGCCAATGGAATTTTCCCCCTTGGTTTTGATTGGAGGGCTAGTTCTTCATTTTTCACAGTGAAAAAGAACAGAAACCTTGAAATCTGCTCAGTAAATGGAAGTCCATCTTGCCTTCTCAGAACTTGTGTCTTGTGTATAGCTGAATAAAGGAAGGAGGAATTTTGCAGGAAATGTGAGAGGGAAGATTTAGTAAACCCAGAGGCTCAATTTTTGGAGAGGACATTTCTCCCATTGAATACAATGGAAAATTCCTCAAGCACAGCCTGGCCAATGAGCCTGATCCTACCTGATTCATCCCACAGCTCTGCTTTGATCTAATCTAGCCCATGTTCCAGAAACAAGGGGAAGAATTTCCTAAATACTATTCCAAAACCTCCTGTCTTAACTTAAGGTCATTTCAACTGCATGCAAGATATCTTCTCACCACCTTGATGCACTAAGAGATAAACTTAGCTCTTTGCCCTTCTACTCCTTCTCCACCGTATGCCAATCTCCAGGAGAAGCTGGACTGTATAACCACAGGTGATTGAATCCTGCAGCCTTCCTGATGCACACAGCCCATCAAAGGGAAGAACTAGCCTGAACAGCTGATACTGAAGTGGATCAAATCAAATTGCATCAGTCTTCACCTCTTACTTAAATTTCACATGTGTCGATTTTGATTATTTAATGTGTAAGAGTTAACCACCAAATGAAAATAAAATGGAATCTACTGGATTTGAACTCCCCCCCCCMAAAAAAAAATATGTCAAGAGACATTTCTTCTCTTTTTGTCTAGGTATATGCAGTCACTTTCTGAATATGAGAACAATGCCATTTTCCACCTGCCAGAAGCATCTATTCTTCTTAGAAATCTAACAGCAATTCCCAACCTCAGTTAAAGACTTGTTTTTCCATTTTTTTTAACTTCAAATACTTTCTAAATTGTGTTAGCCGAAGCATTGTATGTATATAATTAACTCACAGGTCCCTCTGGGCTCATCTAGCTAAACTTGTGGAGCTTAACTGAGCAAGACATTTGCTGATGTCTCTCCCTACAGTGACACCCATTGAAAGGAATACCTTCTACCAGGGGAAACTAGGGGAATTTATTTTCCAAATTGGCTTTTTAGTGATTTGAGTTGCTTCATTAAATGATTTTGGTTGTTTCATAACAATAATGATCTCATTTTCTTTCAAATGCAGAATTTGCAATTTGGGGAAACTTGGATGGGGGAGGGAATTCTGTATTTCTGTATTTTCCTCTCAGTTGAAGTAGAAAGGGGGGCCTCTTTTCACGTTAATTGGATCCTTGAAATTCCCTCTGGGTAGCAAGGGTTTCTCTGTGGGTATGGAGCTCCTTATATCTAGACGTACCTTCCATGTTGAGAGTAAATGCAGTTCCTGCACAAGCAAAACTGAACAGAAGGGCTGTGGGCTGTTTGTTCAAAACAAAGTGCAAAGGGCTTGGGAGAGAGGACTTCTTCAGATTGTTGATTAGATTCACAGTTCCCTCTGCCTGTGAAGATATTGACGCTTTTCTGAACCCCAGTTTTCTACAGTTAGGCGATGTTCTGACCCTGTTAGGAATGGAAGAGACAAACGTGACTGCGACTGTGAAGTTCTTGTTCCTGCTCTTCTTTCTGTTCCTAGCACAGAAGAATTAACCCAGACTCTGAGCAGCTCTTCTTCCCACTCTGTCCACTCTTTCTGAGGCTTTGAGCTCCAGGCCTTTCCTTTTAACTTCAGCAAGGGATCGCATCATATGGGGGAGAACGAAAGGGACCTCGTTGGATTTACAGTTTATCCAAAGGAACCTACTTCTGCTTGGTGTCCTGAATGAAGTGCAGGTGTCTTGAGAAAGGCAGTGAGCTAAAGACTGAGTGTTAGTGTAGACGCGGCCCTTAGCTTCGAGGCACGAGAGGGAGGAGGTTGGAAGAGCGCGTCTATGCTTTTCGCGTGAACCTCAAAGCTAGCTGCTTGCTGGCCAGGTGCCGGTCGGCGGCTGCCTGCGCCCTACTGCAGCAGAGAGCAGCCGCAGCCTGTGCCTAGGGCACCGCTGCTGCTGGGGAAGAGTCCTGGGGCTGCTGACGCGGTTGGGAGGAGCCTCGCCTTTAATGCACCAGCCGCCTCCAGCCTCCTGCAGCAGGAGCAGCAGCAGCAGCAGCAGCAGCTGCGAGTGCGCGCGTGTGGGTGTGAGGGTGAGTGCGCTGGCGCCGGCCGCAGCGCCCTACCCAGCTCCCCGCCGGCTTCCCTAGCCCCCTCCTGCCGGAGCCGCCCTCCCGCGGGACCAACACCCTCATCCCGGCCAGGCAATCCTGAATCCTGCCCCTGCCATCTCGTCACTGCAGCTTGGGTCCGGAAAGGCACCATTTTGTCGCGGCTGCCCGTTCTCCCAGGGGAGGAGGGATCTTTTTTGCATTTTGGAGCGGCTGCCAACGAGGGGAACCTGTTGGGCATCTCCCCAGCCCCGCTTGTGAGCGCCTCCGGGGCGGGAGGGCGGGACCAGACCCCTCGGGGCTCGGCGCATCTTGGCACCCGGAGGCAGCAGAGGCAGGCGCAGCATCCTCGCTGGGAATTGGAGCTGAAGTGAGCACACCGCGCGGGAGGAGCCGCCGCAGCCTCGGAGAGCCCGAGTGGAGGAGGTGACAGCTCCATTGCCGGGTTTTTATTTTTTTTCTCTCCGCCTCCCCGTCTCCTCCTCAGGCTCGGACCATGGTGCAGTCCCACTGGCTCCCCTGCCCCCCTCTCCTGTGAGACTGGCTGCGGGGAGGGATCATGGATACTTGTCTGCCGGCTTCTGGTTCCCACGCAAGTAAGCCTGCTGTCAATGGAGGAGGACATTGATACCCGCAAAATCAACAACAGTTTCCTGCGCGACCACAGCTATGCGACCGAAGGTAACGCCAACCCGGCCGCATTCCGCCGCTGGGGCCGGGTGCAAGTTGCGGTTCGCTGTGCTTGGTGGGCAGCTAGACGCATAGTGGAGGAGACAACTCCGGGCCCGGGGGCTGGGGCAAGGGCTTGGGCTCGGCTCGCAGGGTAGCGCCAGGGCGCCGCACATCCATCCGGGCTCTGCTAGGCGAGCCCTTCGTTCAGCAGCAGGTGGACCCGGCGCCCCGGGAGTTAAAATGGCCCTTGGGGATTAGGCTTTTTCAGGGCGCGGCTCCCATCCGGAAAAGATGACCTCAGGAAGGCAGATGACCTCTGCTCCAAGATGCCTACAGGGGTCTGGGAGAGAGAGAAGGGAGGGGCCCAGTAGGACCTTGGTCCACCCCTCCCTGGGCGAAAAGATGTTGTGCGTCTCAGTGGCTGCAGGGAGGGCATGGTTTCATTTCCTGCCCATTCATCTCTCCGGCTGGCCGGGTTTTACCTGGTCAGACAATCAAAACCCCAAAAGACCCTTTGCAAAAGGGCGAGCCCCTCTCCCCTTGGAAGTGCATTAGCAAGAAATAAAAAGGTGGCTGGGGAAACAGTGTTCCAGCGGGGAGCAAACGAAGCTGACACGTGGGACGACCAATGCGATCGGTGTGGCCTTTAAAAATCACCATTATGAATTCTGCAGCAGTAGTTTCTGCTGAATCAACAGCCAGCAGAAAGCAAGAGGGTTCAGCAAGCTGAGCTTTGCCAAGAGGTGAAATTGTCGTGTCTCTCTCTCTCTCTCAACCAGCTTGTTCTGACATTAGCCCCGGCGCTGTGGAGCAGGCAGGGAAAGTCAGCAGGTGGATCTTATTCCGCCTTTTGTGTGTGAATAGAGAGTGGAGACATTTTATTTGAATGACAAAACTTTTGCATTTTTGCTTTATTTTCTACCTGTAGGCCTTTATCCCTAGCCACTAATATAAAGTGTTGTATTGTCATATTAGCCATATTCTCATGAGAAAAAAAAATGTGTGGAAGTGCTTTAGGAAAATGTTGCAAGGTATGTTAATTTTTTAAAAAATGATTCTTATTATTCTTGAATGCTACAATTTCTGTAATATTTAATCAATTCAAAAGAATACTAGCAAAATGTGGGTGGAGGGTTCAAGCTCTGAAGGAAATCAAAAGACAGACACAATCTGGGGGCATCTTCAATAAACATTCTGGGAAGTTTTGATAGGAAGAATGGCCAATGCTATTGAAAATATGTTTTTCCACTGGTTGTCATTATTGGAGAGCTTGAAGCCCAGTATTTCCACAATGCTAGATAAAGTAGAGTTGTAAGCTCTGTCCTCCAAGAGCTTAGAGACGCTATTTAAGATGTTCAGCCCATCCCTTCCCCGTAATGAGCAATATACTCACTGATTCTATTTCATGATGACAACATGATTGTAAGATGTTCTTCCTCAGTCTTCATGCTTTGTATTGGGTCAGTGATGGGTACCATATGACAACTCAGTATCTAAGCATGGCATCCAAGAAAGAAATAGGCCTTGCTTGGGTTTATTGGCTTTGGGGGAAACATTTCTGTGACTATGAAGATAGAGGGCTGCCTTCATGTTTTCAACTATATTACATTATGCAGGCAAAGGAAACTCACCAAGCTGAGAAAATGGCCAAATTGGGGTTATGTGAATAGGAAAGGAGTGTCATTTGTAGGATGAAGAAATCAGTTAAAAGTGGCATTTCTTATTGCTTTCAAGACCCTGGATTCTGCCTTTATTCTTATTTTGTGGAATTTTTGTAAATTATGATTTTGAATTAAATACCTGGGCTTATATAGTCAAAATGGGGCATGAGTTTGTAGCAAAGAACTTTGTAAAATTTTTCCGATATGTGAGAGTCAACCTCTCAGATCCCCACCCCCACCCCCGCCCCATCCCCTCCATCTCAGTAAAGGAAAGGGGGATTGAAAGTTAGATTGTGTAAAGTTGGGCCCAGCCAGAAGTTCTTATATTCTTGACCTATTCATTTCCAGGAACATTCTTGCAGTTGCTGGCTGGCCTTGGGGAACAGCCCCTCTTCCATTGAACACCTGAAAAGTAGAAGCATGCCTTGAGAGAGCACCAGATTAAAATATTCTCTGTTAAAATTCTCCCCAAAAGTTCTCTTCCCCCTTATTAACTTCAACTTGCGTACAGAGGAATTAGCCTCTAGGTCCTTTTATAGATCATACTTTCCTGTTCCTTTTTATATCTCTGCATTTTCCTCCTACCTGCTCAGATATATCAGGCTTCCCCCCACCACTAAAATCTCTTTCACATTTATCGGTGAATTTTTTCTCCCCTTTGCTCAGATCATTCCACACTGCAGTGTTCTATTTAAAGCTGAAAGGGTTTTGCTGTGTAGTTAGTGTGAAGGACTCTAAGCTCAATTTGCATTGTAAGTGGTAGCTGCAGGCAAGTTCATCCAGCTAAGAGCAATGCAAATGCTAAAGGACACTTTTTACCCAAGATTCTCTTTCTCTTATAACTGAGTGCATGATGTGCATTTGCTGAAGACATTAACACATTTCCTGTGACTTTTTTTGTTATCCTGAATATTAAAGTTATTGCCCCTCACCCATCTTTTCCTATCTTTCTTCCATTGTTAAAGTTAACATTTTGGGGCATCTTCTGTGTTCCAAGCACTTTGCTGAGTTCTTTGTGTGTAGCTTTTCAACCTAACCACTTCAAGAAGTGGTTCTCATTTTCCAATAAGGAAAATTAATCCAACTGAGGCCTAAAGACATTATTAATTTGCCAAGGTTACACAGTCAATGAAAAAGCTAATGTTGAAACTCAGGACAGTGTCTGAGCCCAGGTATTTTTTGCTGCAAAATTCTGCATTGCCTCATTTTCCTTTAACTATAGCTCTTGATCACAATGGTTTCAATCTTGAGTGTAAACTGGGTTTCCAACTTGGAGAGGATTCTTTGAGGAGATAATTTGAAAGTGTATGTATGGGCCGAGTTTGGTGGTGCATGCCAAATCCCAGCAGCTTGGGAGGCTGAGGCAGGCAGATCGTGAATTCAAAGCCAGCCTCAGCAAAAGTGAGGCACTAAGCAACTCAGTGAGACCCTGTCTCTAAATAAAATACAAAAAACTGCTGGGGATGTGGCTCAATGCCCCTGGATTCACACCCCAATACTAAAAAAAAAAAAAAAAAAAAAAAAAAAATGTGTATGTATGGGATGAGTAAGGGCATCTGGTAGAGTTGGAATGACCACAAAAATAAAGTCAGCATGATGGTTTGGCCTTTGCAGATCTGGAACTCAGGGTTTCTACACCAAAGGTCCATCTCCCAAATCTCTATTCTATCTGTGGATATTTCTTCCTCACAAGAAAGCAGGTATAAGAAAGACATGGACATAAATGAAATAAACGGAAGTGTTTTGCTTAAGGGTATTGGGGGTTTTAGTTGGGCTTTCTTTGGGCCAAAGAACCCACTCTTTATTACAGTAGCTCATAGATTTCTAGATCAATCTTCCATTTTCAACTGGAGACACAGAATACTCTCATAAGTGGAGTATTTTAAAATAACTGTTTTGTTCTTAGTTTCCTTGGCTGTAAAATGGGAGTAACAGTAGGACCCTATATTTTAGGAAAAGTGATTTGATACAGAGAAAATGCTCAGGACAGTGCCTAGTACAAAGCCAGCCTTCAATAAATGTTCTCAATATGCTACAACAGCTGTTCTTATTTAAGCTTTATCTACACAGCAAGGATACTGTCTTTCCATAGATTATATGTTGATTTGAGGTGATCTTGGTGGGGAAGGGCACCCACCACAGTCTTCTTTTGGCTCATCTGCCAGCCATGGATCTTGTCATTTAGTAATTTTCTTAATGTACTTGCTGATTATATTCTGGCCACAAGAAAGTTCCGTCTTCTGTCAGAAACCTTAAAAAAAAAAAAAAAAAAAACAACTGTCCTGTTTACACATATTAAAGGAAGACAAGTTCACTATTTAATGTTCTTCCTCCCTATTACTGATTCATTTTGCCTTTAATTCCTTCAATAAGTATTAATTGAGTTCTGCAGAGGTGATACAGCATGTCCCAATACAGACATGTTCCATATATATCTTCATGGAGCTTTTCATCTGGCAGAGGAGGTAGACATTAGACAAGTAATTTTCCCAGTAAATATGTAGTCACTAGTTGTAATAAGTGATATTAAGGGAAGACCAAGATGCCTTGTAGTTGTGTATGTGGGTCTAATATAGATTGGGTGTTCAGAGACAATTTCTCACAGACAGTCCTAAGCTGAGACTTGAAAGATGAGTTCTGAATTAACAAGAGCTGAAGATATTTTAGGTAGAAGGAACAAAAAAAGAGGCACACAGGCCCAGGGACATAGAATCATCTGGCAGATTCAGGAATTTGGAAAGATGATTGTGGCTAGAGTGTACAGAGCAAGGGGGTTCATGGAGAAAATGAGACTGAAGTCTATAGTCTGACTTGGAACACACCAAAAGCAAGGTATAGGTAAATGAATAGAAATATGATAAATCAGTTATAAAATGTTAATAGCAAAATCCAGATGGGCCTATGTATCATCCCTGTAAATCTTTTATCCACTTTGATATCTGTTTAAAATTTCTCAGGATAAAATACTGGGGGAAAAAAAAAGATACTAGAGAGGTATTCAGGGACCAGATCACGTTAAGCCTCGTTGACCATAAGGTGTTTGGACTTTATCCAAAAATGGATCGAAAGCCATTAAAGGATTTTGATGGGGAGGAATCTGATCAGGTTTGTCTTTTTAAAAGCTGAGTCTGGTTGCCATGTAGGGTGGGGTCAGAGGACCAAGTATGAAATAAATAGGGACAAAAACTGGGAGATAAATTAGGAGTCCAGGGCTTGATCCTGGAATGGTGGCAACAAAAGAGATGGAGAGAACCCGATGGATTTGAGACACACTATACAGAAGGACTGTGACAGGCTTATTGATGTGCTAGGTTGGGTGTCTACAGAGAAGATGGTGTTGAACACTAC